TTCTGTTGTTGTTTTTATTCTTGCGTCGGCATCGGAGATATATTATTTGTTTATTCCTATTCCATCCATCGGATCGGTTGCCCGCGACGATTATGAGGAAATCTGATTTGGTTGGAATGCGAATGTCTGTCTGAGAGTCGTCGCAGCTCTCCCGCTTGCTCTCACGGATCTGGATCGTGTGGTATGTGTGTGTTTGTGTGGTGTCTGGGAGTGAGCTTCTTCTCCTCACCTCCAATCCCCCGGAGAGGAGGAGCAGCAGCAACAGCTAGGTGATGTGTCCGCTCAAATATTTCTCTGGCGGAAGTGTGTCGAGTGATCAACAACATCCATTCCATTGGCACATCCTTTTCGCTTGGGAGCTCGCTGCTCAGCAGTGAACTTTGATCCGTAGCAAGAGCAAGAAGAGCCAGTGGTGGTGGCATCCATGCCCAGAATTCGTGGTAGTTTTCCATATGTGATTTACCAAAAATTTTAAATAAACAAAAAACTTGCAGAAGAAAATGAGTCAAGTGGATATGTGAAAAGAGTGTGTTTGCATGTGTGTGGATTATGTGTGGTTACTAAAAGGATATATCAAAATATAAGAAAGATATCTCAAGACCAAACTTTAAAAACTGATATATATAACGAGACATATTGCGATGTTTTGAAATAAAAGTGTTCTTTTTAAATAATTCTCTGTTGAAAAAACTAATTTAACCTCGATTTTTGTATCTTATTTTCAGATACCCCAGTTGAAGGCAACTCTAGTGGCTACCACTACTGAGATACGGATCCGTTGACCAGGAGGACACTTCCTTAAACACTGTGGCTGCATGTCCAAAATGAAAATGCTCCCAGTACAGTTATCGTTGAATTCGCTGAATCCCGGCATCTGGAGCGATGTGCTCTGGCGCTGCCCCCCGGCGCCGTCCAGTCAGCTCGCCGAGCTGAAGACACAGCTGCCCCCGTCCCTGCCCTCCGATCCGCGCCTGTGGAGCCGCGAGGATGTGCTCGTCTTCCTTCGCTTCTGCGTCCGTGAATTCGATCTGCCCAAGCTCGACTTTGATCTCTTCCAGATGAACGGCAAGGCGCTGTGCCTGCTGACGCGTGCAGACTTCGGCCACAGGTGCCCGGGTGCCGGAGATGTTCTGCACAATGTGCTGCAGATGCTTATCATTGAGTCGCACATGATGCAGTGGCATCTGCCCAACAGTCCAGTGACGCCCACCAGCAGATATCCCCTGTCGCCGCACAGCCACCCGCCGACGCCCACGTGGCCACCGCTGAATGCTCCGCCAGAGAGCAGTCCCTTCCACAGTACGCCCCACGGCCTGGCAGGTCATCATTTTATGGCACCAAACTCTGTGACGCTCAGTCCGCCGCCTTCAGTGGATTCTCAGGCGAGTAGTCCGCCGCAGGCTCCCTACCAAAACGGAGGAGGAGGAGCACCTGGAGCGGGAGCAGTAGCAAATGGCGGAGCAGGAGCCACAGCCACCTCGGTAGGCACGACCAGCAGCAGCAGCAATCCCACATCTTCTAGTGCCAGCAGCACCGGCAGCAACGGCTCTCAGCCTAACATTATGCCCATGAAGGGTGTCAGCAGTGCCAGCAGTAATCACTCCGATTCCGAGGAGGAGTATTCGGAGTCGAAGCTACCACCCGCACCGCTGTACAGCGCAGGCAGCCCGCCGAGCACACCCATTCTGAAAGACATCAAGCCCAACTGGACGCAGCAGCTGACGAATAGTTTCGTCAACTCGTGGTCCCAGCAACAGCAGCAGCAACAACAGCAACAACAGCAACAGCAGCAGCAACAACAAGCTGCCGCCGTGGCAGCAGCAGCAGCGGCAGCCCAGGCGCAGCAGCAGCAACAACAGATGCAGCAGCAGCAACTGCCGCAGAAGCTGACTCTCGATAATACAGCCGGTCCCGTGTTGGCACCTGCCGGAGGATCCATCTCGGCTCCGACCACGCCCAGTTATATGTACAAAGCCAAGCGGGAGTTCTTTCCAGAGAACTCTGAGCCCAATACAAGTAAGTTTAAGGGATAAATATTCTCAGAATTTTTAATAATTAATGTCTACCTCGGTTTATTCTAGATGGTCGCCTGTTGTGGGACTTTTTGCAACAACTGCTGAATGATCGCAACCAGAAGTACAGCGATCTGATAGCCTGGAAGTGCCGCGATACGGGCGTCTTTAAGATCGTCGATCCCGCCGGATTGGCCAAGTTGTGGGGCATCCAGAAGAACCATTTGTCGATGAACTATGACAAGATGTCGCGTGCCCTCCGCTACTACTACAGGGTCAACATATTGCGCAAAGTGCAGGGCGAGCGACATTGCTATCAGTTCCTGCGCAATCCCACGGAACTGAAGAACATTAAGAATATATCCTTGCTGAGGCAATCGACGCCGTCGACTGGCAGCGGTGCTTCATCTATGCCACAGGCCCCTGGAAGTCCTGCTGCCGTTCAGAACTGGAATTCCCAGCAGCAGCAGCAGCAGCAATCCCAGCAGCAACAGCAACAATCGCCCCAGCGTCCCGCCTCGCGTAACGGTCCAATGAGCCTGCCCGCCGTGGCAGCAGTGGCAGCCGCCGCTGCAGCAGCCTATGGTCCACCGCCCACATCGCCCCTCTTTATGCATGCGATCAATGGAGCCTTCCACTACCTTTCGGCGGCGGCAGCTGGTCCGCCACCCAATTCCCCTGCCTTAAACACACCGTCGGCGATTGGTGGACCTGACAAATTCCAGTTCCATCCCCTGAAGCTGGAGAGCAACGGTTCGGGATCGGGTTCGGAAAGCGCAGGTGAGGACTTGAAGCCAACGGATCTGAGCGTGAGCAGCAAGAACAATAATTCCGCCAGCAACGAGGACTGCTATCCGTAAGTACAAAGAATCTCTCCTGAAACATTATATTTACTAAACTCTCGCAAAACCTGCAGGCTCATCCGCAATGCTGACGGTCTGACCACCATCAAGCTGATACGCCACAACAACGATCACCAAGGAGGAGCACCATCGCCAGGAGAACGGTCACCCAAACCGGATGACCAGCAGTCCGCCGCCGCCGCAGGCATCACCTCCAATGCCAGCTCACCCAGGCCGATGGATCAGGCCAGCAGTGAACAGGCTCTGCCGGTGCCCATGGACAGTGATTGCAATGGCGGCGAATCGGAGGATTCCTTCCGCCACATGCGGCAGTAGGAGGAGTCGTAGCAGCAGCAGCAGTATCCTGTGACAATCCACACATCCAACTTCTTCCTCCATCCTTCCTTCCTCTGAACGCAACATTACCTGAGCTAAAAAAAAAAAGAAAAGAAAATATGGGACCAGCACAACAAGCGCACAGACATCTAAGAGGGAGACTCATCTGCTGGACATAGATCTGGATGGCTTTCGTTTCAGAATGGATTCTTGTTGGAGGTAATCCTTGGAGTCCTTTAGGCTGTAATTTAAACATTTAGAAGAGTTTAAACTAGATGAAAATGTTGGTTATTACTTTCTTAAAGGGAATTCCGATTAAGTGTCCTAAAGATTATCCAATGATTACCTCTGGCGAGTCTCTTGCCAAATCTTCTGTATATAGAAAACACAACCATGTATGCATACATAACATATATATTTTATAAATCAAGCAAACATATTTATTAAGTTAAGCTAAGCTAAGGAAGCAGAGTGAATGTAAGTAGATATCTTGAGCCGGCGCAGCGCAGCCTTCGATATATGTGCCAATTTCTACATTTATCAAAAAACAAAAAAAAAGAAAAAAACAAACCCCAAACACACACATCAATCATACGAGAGTAGCGCGTAGAGAGTAAATTAATTAAATAAATAAATTAGCAAATAGCATATATAGAGCGTAAGTGTTGCCACCTTTGAGCTTTACAAATGTTGCCTCAACAAAATGGTTTCAAATTAATGAAAACAAAAAAACAAAAAAACAATTGTTAAAATACGAGAAAATGAAGGAGAAATATGAAAATTTGAATTGTTGGCGTAATTTGTTAATATAAATATACAAAACAAATCAGCTTAGAACGAAGAAAGGCAAATTAATTAATTTCTTGTGATAACAACAACAGAATTATCTTTGATTCACACTATTGGCACATATGGTCCCAAAAAAAAAGAGCAGTTGCCAACGAAGCTGATACAGTTTCGTTTTAAAGGATAATAACAATAGCTGTTCTTTGCTTGTTTTTGCGGGATCAGCCTGAAAAGAGAGCTTTCAAAATTCAATTTCAATTGAGACCCTTAGCCCTAGATACACTGCAACAAGAGAACACACACACATTAAAAATATGATATACATACATTTTATATATATAATAAAAAAGAAAACATTGGCTTCCATTTTTATAGCAAGCATACATATATGTATACACATTAGTTTTCTATTATTATTATTATCATTATGATTACTATTATATTATTTGTAATGTTAGTTTACGCAGCAAATGAATGGTGTTCATTTTTATAAACATTAATCATACGATCTTTACACCCACCCCTCTTACCTCCTCAAACAATAGAAAATGTACATTTCAAGCACTTTAATAATCGTATTAAACAGAATTGAAGCGAGTTACGAAAAGGAGAGACATCATCATCAATCGCACGTTCATACATTTAGCCCGTAGTGTGCAAACTCTGTAATTATTAATTAATGTGTAGGAACTACGTTAAAAAATCATTTTCTATTTGTTTTTCGTACGCCTTAAGTTTAAACACACACCGCCAATAGCTAATAATTAGCACTCTAGTGTCGCCACAATACCTGTTCTTCCATTTGAAAACTTTATCTTTTGATCAATATACATAATTTATATATGTATAAAAAAAAAACAAAGGAAACCAATTTATATGCAATAAATAAATTGAAAACTGAAATCGATCGATTTTGTTCTTATTTTGTGTAGTAAAGTGTACATTTATTACGAATCCCAAGTACGAATTCGGGGACTAACTGTTGGGAAATTCATAATTTACAAAAAGAAATACTTGTTTTTGCTTTAATTTTGTCTTTATTACAATTTCAAAAGTCGTTTCTTCAAATCAGAAAATAGTGTAAAATACAAATTTTTAATATTAGGAAATCAGCGTTAATTTTTTTGAAAAGATTTCTAAAATCTATGATTAGAATGCTTGTTGTTTAAATTCAATATTCGTTAGATATTTGTGGAAAGGTCATCACTTATTAGATAAGCTCCTGATTGTCCAAGAACTCGCGAATCATATTCCTGCAGGACTTGAGCAGGGATTTGTTGCAGCCGCGCGTCTGGTCGCTTCCGGGAACAGGAGTCCTTGCTTTCGCCTTCACTATAGAGTTGTTACTGGTCACCGAGGTCACAGATTTGGCTGGCGTCAAGGATCTCCGCAGGAGATGCGGTGGTATGGAACGTTTCTTTAACGGCTGAGTGGCGGCGACTGGCGGGCGAACTGTCTGATCCTTTGGTGTCGTATTGTCAGCGATCACAGGCGGAGGTGTTGGCGATCGGGTTGTTGCAGTGTATGAAATAATACTATTGCAGATCTGACGATCGTATTGGTAGCGAAGCAAGAGGAGAGCCGATGCTGCCTCCAGCTCCAGGGCACTATGGGCGGTGGTGTCAATGGTGACGTCCTCTTCCGGGACCTCTCTCTTAACTGGCGAAGGACTGGCCGCGAGCTTGCGTTTGTTCAACATGCGGTACTTCATGTTAGCAGGAGGAGTGTCGACAAGGAACTGATGTCCTGCTAACCTAGACAGCAGGTTTATATAGATCAGACACAGAGCAGATATCTCTACCTGCTTAAAGTTCTACCTACCAATTGGCCGCTAATCCAAGTTTTTCCCTAATAGGTAACCCTCGGGAACAACGCAGGTAATCTTAGCACTAGGATTTTATAGATTCGCGTTTTCTGCCTACGAATTGGTAGCTAATCCGCCTGCATTACCCTAATAAGCCAGGTGCAAATGTTTGTCAGTTTGACAGCTGCTTGCTTTGTTACAATAATTTTCCTTTTGAAGAGCTTGGACTCTTTGAAGGTTATTTCGGCAGCGGGAAAATATTTCTAGGAATAGAGTTTTATTGCAGCAAAAAAACATGTTATCCCTTAACGAAGGTATTGGTGCCAAAGGATAAATCTAGACCTTATTTAATGTAATATTTCCATTTACCCAAAGCCGGAATACTTTGCGCTAGTTGAATCAAAATCTCAGGTAAATCCTTATGGTTTATTGTAATTAAAACTGAAGACAATAAACACTTAGATACTATTTAAATAGTTAATGTTTTGTGAGCAACTAAAGGAGACCCTTTTTAACATTTAAAATGCTTTGATTTTGGACAAATGCTTTTATTATTTTATCATTTCCCGTGCTCATTTGTAGTGGGTTTTTTTTTATTAGGAAATACAAGCGAAAAACCAAGAGATGCCGGTGGGTATTTAATAATTTTACATATTTACATATCTTTATTAGCATTTTCTTCCAAGTGAATAAAACTAAGAGTTCTGTGGTTCTGTATTTGTTCATTAAAATATTTCTGCTGAAATATATTGTTTTGTTTTAAACAAAAAAGAAAAGTGGGAAGGCTTCGAAATTATTCTTTTGAACTTGTGAAAATAAATTATATAGATAAAAGTCCCAGGACTAAAGGTTTGGTAAGAAGAAAATAAAGGAAACACTGATTGAAAGGGAGCAGCAGCGGAGTGTATGAAAAATACAAAACTGAAACGCACATTAATTTCAAAGCATATTCGTCAACTTTGCCAGTTAAAAGTAGTTTGTGATATTACGAAGACGTTGCCGTTCGTATTCCATACAGATCACACAATTGAAGGCTTTCGAATATAGTTCTGTGCGGACCGACTTGCATTCCAGGATGCAAGGACTTTCCTTCTCCTTGGTTTCCATCTCTGAAACTCTTGGCGCTCTCTACGCATGAATCTCGAATAGTTTTGCCACCTCATTGAGGTCATCATACTTCTTATTCTGATTAATTATTGTCCTAGCTAAGCCTATCCGGTTGAAGAGGTTCCAGAGCAGGACGCCCACGATCTTATCGTCCTTCATGTAGAACACCACGCCCTTGCCGTAGTTTGCCGTCTTATCGGAATCGGAGGCAACGCCATTTGTGGTAACGACCTCAACATTCTTTTTGCCCTTGGAATCGCCACCCTCCTTGGGCTTTGGCAGCTTGTCGGCGGCATCCGACGGCAAAGCAAACACTCCCACGGTGGGCAGCGAGGAGTCCACCAGACCGATGCCCTCGTAGCCGATCTCAGGACCCAAATCCGACCAGAACATGCTCTGATGCTGGTATGGTTTCTCTGTAAGTGCAAAGACATTTTAAGACATTGTAATTGGTAAGGAAAAAATCCACCACTCACTAGCTCCCGTCATGTTCTCTCCAGCCAGTCGTCCGGACACCACGGAGTGATCATGGTGCTCCACCCGCCGCCTGCCCAACAGCGGATCGTAGAAGCAGGAGGCGTCGCCAGCCACGTACAGGTTTCGTCTGGCTTCCAGCTCAGCATTGACCACGAAACCACCGAGGCTCCCGTCAACTTCCAGCCTGCTCGGACCAGCGAGCTCCGTGTTTGGTGAGCAGCCAACACAGACTACCACCACATCGGACACCAGGGTCGTGCCATTGTTCAGCTCCAGTTTCAGATTGGATGCGTCTCTGGTCGCGCTCTGAATGCTGGCATTGGGGATAACACAGACACCCTGCGCCTCCATCTTGGTCTTAGTCCAGCGGCTCAGGTAGTCCGGCAGAACCCGCGACATATTTGAATCCTCCTGGAACACCTGGTACACCTTGCCGCCACCATTCTCCTTGGCGTAATGGGCCAGGGAGCAGGCCAGCTCGCTCCCAATGAAGCCGTTGCCCACGATCGTGATCGATCGCTTCTCTGACGCCAATTTGCGAAGGCGGTCGAAGTCATCGGGAGTGCGATAGACCATTACCTTTTCGCGAATGCTGGGTGGCGCATCATGGAAAACGGCGAGGTTCTTGGGGGCACAGCCAGTGGCAATCAGGCACGAGTCGTACTCAATTTGATAGCCATCTTCTAGCGTCACTATCCGCTTCTGGGCGTCCACCTTCTTAACGGCGAAACCCTGAGCCACGGCTATGCCGCCATTCACGCTCTCCTCCAGCTTCTCGGGGGCCACGAAAAACTCGTCAGGCTCAAAGAACAAGCTGCAATGGAACATGGAAAACTTTTATAATAATCGAGGGAGTTTTTCAATTTAAGCGCACCTTCTCTCCGAGCCAGTCCACTGCTTGAAGCGGTAATCCTTGTTGGTCTCCTCGCTCGGGTTGGGCGTGTACCAGAGCTCCTTAGAAAGAGGCGGACGCATGTAGGGCTTGCGAAACTCGTTGCTGATCATCAGGACCTTTGCGGTGGCATCGTTGGACTTGATGGCACGGAACGCAGAGAAGGCAGCAGTGCCGCCGCCGACAATCAGGTATGGAACGTGCTTTGGAAGGTCCTTGGAACTAGCAGGAGCTGAAACGGAAAATAAGGAAATTAAGACCATGAGCTTGTCATTTTTGTAGACAATGATTAATGATAAGGCGGTCAGATAATGCTAATCTGGGAGTGACTGCCAAAATATTCATATCAAAACAGGCAGATATCATTGGTTAACTCAGCAGGAATGTATATTTCACCATTAGCTTACTTTGAATGAATATCTCTTAACTACAAATATCTTACTTGTGGCTGGACCAGCTGACAGCTTACGCTTCCGTTGCTCATCTGCTGCACTTTTGGCGTCGCCATCGTCTGTTTTCTGCGTCAAGTACCAGGTTATCTACGAAATTTGCGTACATTTTACAAGATTCTCTTTAAAAACAAGATCTATAAATACCACTCCTCCGGCAAACAATGCCGCCAGAGCAGCCAGCAGGCCCGTCAGGCGAAGATCCTTTTTCTGGCTTTCGGAGTCCTGATCAACGCCACTGGAGGCTGTTCCATCGTCATTGCTACGAGGGCTACTGGGTTTGTGGGAACTGGACTGTGAGTATGAACTGTCAGAGGATTTAAGAACATCCTTGGCGCTGCATAAGGTCTTGCGATCCTGAAAACCATTAAATCAAGGAATAATAAGTAACCAGTAAGGAAGAGGGAAATGAAAAGGGATGAAATGAGATGCCACTGTAAGAAGTGGTGGGCGATTGTGACCTCCTCATCTATCCTGATGGTGTAGTAGTAGTTACCTTTTGATAGAGGCTGCTATGCGACGACCGGAGAGCGGCTGAAATGCGGAGGAGAAGGCAACGCCGGATCAGTCGGGAAAAACATGAGAGACCATAACCTCACAACTCACCGTACACCGCCGGCGAGCGCTGCAGCTGCGCCGGTCCCAGTATCCTGCTGTTGGCCAAGATGTATGCCTGCCGGACGAACTTCCGCGTAAGGCAGCGCCCGCTCCACACTCCACTCATGGCAAATGTGTCCCGATTCCGGTGGTGTCACAGCAAATGAACGCAAAATTGTGTAACAACGGGTTTGCGGCGGTGGTAACGTGTGGTGTGTTCGCGGGTTTTTGTTGTGTTTATAAAAAAAAGAAGCAATTTCTGTGACAAATATCTCCGTGTGAAATGCGGAGGGCTTTAATTGATCTCTTCTTTCTGTTCACAACAATCGATCTTCGGTTCCTTCTCTCCTTTCCCTTTATTTCGCATTCCTTTGCTGCCCTTCCGTCATGTTGTATTTTCTGTCCCTGTCTCCGTGTTTAGTGTGGCCGTCGCAGTGTGCTGGGAAATCCCAAATCCAACAAGAGCTTGCGGTAGTATCGGATGTATCGGTGCAAAAGCGCACTGAAAAAAATTTAAACATGTTTATAAAATAGCTAAAATAGATAATCTAGAATTTTGTAAAAAAAACGATTGATTTAAGATTGAAATATAAAATTTTAATCAAAATTTTATAAATCTAAGATAAAATATACATCTAACGTAAAATTGTTTAAAAAAATAAATAAAGAAAATAAAATTATTTTTATTTTTATTTTATTTATTAATTTCATAAATTTTTTGCGGGAATGTTCCTAAAATATTGTATACAATGTATTCAAAGACTTCAAGCAGCAAACTTCAGCATTCGATCCTCAGCCATATTTTAACCTTGAAAAATTTGTCATGAAAATTAGTTTTTCTTTCTTTTTTTGTAAACAAAACACAATATTAACCACACACACACGGTTTTAAACAATTGAGGATTCATTTATTCTGGCACCGTCAGAGTACTAACATTATGAGTATTATAAGTATCTGGAGCGTCCAATGCCTGACGCGAAGGTTCTTTCGCCAGGCGTACATCTTGGCCAACAGAAGGATACTGGTTCCGCCGCCATTACAGCCGCCGCCGACATATGGTTAGTTTTTGAGCTTATTTCAACCTCAACCTATGAAAACCTTGACCTATCTTGTTTCGTTTCCGGTTTAAGCCTCTTTCCGGTCGGCACACAACAACCTTTATCAAATGGTCAAGAAACGCACCTTTGAGGCTCGCAGCAAAATGCAAGCCAAAAAATATCCCAACCATCAGGTCTGCATCCCCAAGAACTACGAGTACGAAAATCAATTGAATGAGGACGTGGATCCACAGGCTTCAGACAACGCTAGTGCCCCCGGCTTTCCAAACGTCAACTATCAAGCCCCGCCGCAGTCAGAGCAGCTCATTATAAAAGTAATTATTAGTTAAATCCTTATTTTTAAGCTGCAAGGATCAAGAGTTAAATGTCTTCTAAATTCTTCTTGAATCCTTGCTTCCTTTCAATATACTAACTTATTCCTTGATTGATTCTTAGGGCTATCCGGACGTGCAAGTCTGCAGTGCCAAGGATGTCCTGAAATCCTCGGAATGTGAGCTCAATAGCTCCGAGCCCGTTATCGATTCCTGCAAACCCAAGGATCCCTGCAAGCCCAAGGATCCCTGTGCAGAATTCAAGCGCAAGAGGCAGGAGACACGGTGCCAGCCCTGTAATGATGGAAATGCTACGGGTGGCGGTGGTAGTGATGAGGAGTGCGAGTGCCGGCTGAAGGATCTCCGTCTGAAGTGTCTACTGGGCGCGCTGGCGGCGCTGCTTACTGGAGGATTGGTGGGATTATATCTTAGTTTCAAAAGAAAAAAGAAACCCCACTAAATGTACTCTAAATCTGCAGCTAACCTGGTTCTTGACGCGACAGCCGGACGATAGTGAAGCCAGAAGGGCAGCTGAGGAAGAGGAGCTACGGAAGAGACGACTGATAGCTGGTCTAGTGACAAGTGAGTGGAATTAACTTAAGAAAATATTTATTTATATTATATAAACAAAAATTATGAGCTTGAGAATGTATTCTTCCCATTCCCGTTACAGGTCCTGCCAGCTCCGAGGACCTGCCAAACCACGTACCTTACCTTATTGTCGGCGGCGGCACTGCTGCCTTCTCTGCGTGTCGAGCCATCAAGTCCAACGATGCCACCGCCAAGGTCCTGGTGATCAGCAACGAGCCCCGCAAACCTTACATGCGTCCGCCTCTCTCCAAGGAGATCTGGTACACGCCTAACCCAAGCGAGGATCCCATCAAGGATTACCGCTTCCAGCAGTGGACGGGCTCCGAAAGAAGGTGCGTTTCTATTAGCAGCTTAGAATGCTGTAATTAAGTAATTAAACTTTTCACCTCAGCTTGTTCTTTGAACCGGAAGGGTATTTCGTGGAACCCGAGAACTTGGCTGGCAGTGCAAAGGGCATAGCCGTCGCTCACGGTTTCGCCGTCAAGAAGGTGGATCATGATGAGCGAAAAGTGACGTTAAACGACGGCTATCAGATCGGGTACGACTCGTGTCTGATTGCCACTGGCTGTTCCCCCAAGAACCTCAACATTTTCCAGGATGCGCCACCCAGCATTCGCGAAAAGGTAATGGTCTATCGCACTCCCGATGACTTCGACCACCTCCGCAAATTGGCGAGGGAGAAGCGATCGATCACGATCGTGGGCAACGGCTTCATCGGGAGCGAGCTGGCCTGCTCTCTGGCCCATTACTCCAAGGAGAATGATGGCGGCAAGGTATATCAGGTGTTCGAGGAGAACGGTAATATGTCGCAGGTCCTGCCGGACTACTTGAGCCGCTGGACGATGGCCAAGATGGAGTCGCAGGGTGTCTGTGTTATCCCCAATGCCAGCATTCGGAGCGCGACAAGGGATGAAGCTGATCTAAAGCTGGAGCTAAACAATGGCATGACCCTGATGTCCGATGTGGTGGTAGTCTGTGTTGGTTGCTCACCCAACACGGAGCTCGCCGCTCCGAGCAGGCTGGAAGTAGACAGGAGCCGCGGTGGCTTCGTGGTCAATGCTGAGCTGGAAGCCAGGCGAAACCTTTACGTGGCTGGTGACGTTTCCTGTTTCTATGACCCGCTGTTAGGCAGACGGCGAGTGGAGCACTATGATCACTCCATGGTCTCGGGCCGGCTGGCTGGTGAGAACATGACGGGAGCTAGTGAGTAACATTTCCGCACTATTGGTGGAGTTTTTCTTTGCCAATTACAATGGCTTGAAATGTCCCTTCATTTACAGAGAAACCATACCAGCATCAGAGCATGTTTTGGTCGGATTTGGGTCCTGAAATCGGCTATGAGGGCGTCGGCCTGGTGGACTCCTCGCTGCCCACCGTGGGAGTCTTTGCCCTGCCCTCGGATGCTGCTGAACGCGTAGACAACCTGGCCGAGCCCAAGGAAAGCGGCGATTCCATGGGCACAGCCGATGTTGAAGTCTTTACCAAAGATGGCATTACCTGTGATCCCGACGACGCGGCGGACTACGGCAAGGGCGTGGTGTTTTACATGAAGGACGACAAGGTCGTGGGCATCCTGCTCTGGAATCTCTTCAACCGAATAGGCTTAGCTAGGACTATTATTAATAAGAATAAGAGTTATGATAACCTCAACGAAGTGGCCAAGCTGTTCGAGATTAACGCGTAGAAAGCCCATAGCCGCAAGAGATGGACCAAGGAGAAGCTAATGTTAGCATTATCCTGGAGTGCAAGTCGGCCCATATGGTGGTCTGTAAATTTCTAACTGGATACTAACGGCAAAGACGCAAGCAACAGAAATTTTAGTTTTAGTATTTTTGGAATAAACCTTTAATGACATTCACCTACAACGAAAACCAAATGTCACAACTCTCCAAAAGATTCTTCAAGAGGAGCATTGTGTGAGCATTTGAACGCTTGAGACTTTAGCTCCCAAATGTTTCCTATCTGATAGAAAAAAATCTTAAGATTATATTTTAAAATTTCACTTTCCCTTTGGGAAACGAACCTTTAAAACGATTAAAAAACAAATAAATGTTTTTTTTTTTTGAAGATTATATAATACATATATATATATTATAAGAAAATTGTAACCATAACAGGGTTTTAAGTATAAAACATCTTGTTTATTCTGTTGGTTATGTTGACTTAACCATCTTTTTTAAATGATTTTTTTTAACCTCCCAGCTGAAAACCGAAATATGCAAATTAAATTTAAATTTGTGATTGAGCTATCTCAATAAAATTAAGCTATATAGTGACATATGTTTTCTGTTAACGTTAGCTGCCTTTCCTGTAAGGTAAAATAACGTATTTATGTTTCCTAAGCTCAACCTTCAAAGCCCTCCATGCATAGCCAATCAATTTATAAATTACATTTTCAAATTACTGAAAATGTATACAAACCTTAAATGATTAGCTATTCGACTTTCTTAATACGTCTTAAGTTGGTGCTAATTATTACACCCATTGCATTGATACTACATTCATTTTCATATTATTGTATGTGCAGATGTATTCCAATTGATAGCAGCTTTCCCGACTCTGACTTCTTAATCGCTGACACTGTACCTTCGCATCACACTATGACAATTTCTAAATTGCAAGCTCTTGCAATGTGTTGTTAAAATAACAATTAGACATTTGAAGAGCGTGTATTCTAATCGAAACACCTATAACCAAGCCGTGACGATCTACGTTTGATTAGTCGCCGACGAACCTTATTGGAGAAAGGAGCCCTAAGCCATAAACAGGAATATGACTTCGCCAGATCCAATTCGGTTGGCTTTCTTTAAGACTCCCTGGCCCACCCTTGGGGTGCTGGCAGCCTACCTTCTGTTCGTCCTGAAGGTGGGTCCCAAGCTCATGGACCGTCGACAGCCCTTTGAACTGCGCGGTGTGATCAAGGCTTATAACATCATACAAATCGTGTACAATAGTGCGTTGTTCGTATACGTAAGTGTAGTGGAAGGGACGGGACTTTCCATCAATTATGCAAATAATTACAGGTCTGCTACGTCGTCTTTAGTTTCTACGACTTGAGGTGCCCCATAACCTTGCCCTTGGGCCATAAGGGCAAGGATTTAGAGCGACTTTTCGCCAACGCGTACTACATCAACAAGCTCATTGATCTGGTGGAAACGGTGTTCTTTGTGCTGCGCAAGAAGAGCAAACAGATATCCTTTCTGCACGTCTTCCACCATGTGTCTGTGATCCTGGCCTGTTACCTCCTCCAGACTCTGCATGGTCACGGCGGCATTGGGGCCTGGATGGTTATCCTTAATTTGATTGTACACGCGTGTATGTACACTTATTACCTTCTGTCCTCCATTAGCCCGGGAGTGCAAAAGGCGAGTCTGTGGTGGAAGAAGTACATCACCATCATCCAGCTCATTCAGTTCGCTTTAGTTATGCTCCATATGATCGACATGATTATGCAGAGCGATTGCAGAGCTCCACGACCAGGGATCTATGCCTTTGGATTCCTATATGGGGCCTTGACTGTGATGTTCTCCAAGTTCTACTATCAGTCGTACATAAATCCCAGCCGGAAGAAGGCAAAGGGGTCCTTATAAGCCTCTACATTTTTGTATTCAAACGAAACGAAATTAACCCACTTGTAACATAATTCAAGATTCTACGTTCTTTTTAATAGCATAATTATTTCATTTAATTTCTTCCATTTTTGTGGAATTAAGCCCAAAAAGAAAATAAGAAAGCTATGCATAATACGATATTAGATCGGATGTAAGTATCGTCAGTTTAATTGTGCAATAAGAATGGTTTATAAATATTACATTAAATTAACATATTAAACTTTTGTTTGTGTGGAATATCACTTATCCGCACTCGCTGCCTGCTGCTGCTGAGCAGCACTCACCGGCGCCTTGATGCCCATCAGCTGGCATAGTTGATTCCTCAGGGGACGCACCTCCACCAGCGGCATGGTCCAGTCGGTCTCGGAGAGCAATGTTAGGATCTCATCCATATTATCCTCGGGCACTTCGGTGACATCTCCATGCAGGGCCAAAGCTTCGTATAATTTAGTAGCTGCCGTTTTCCTAACATGCACATGCTGCAGTCCAAGGAATACCGCGAGCTTGGAGAGGATGCGCCGGGACAGACGAGGCACCTGCAGGAGCTGGCAGAAGGCACTAATACTGCTCGCCGTCTTGTAGAGCTTCTTGTATCCCTTGACTTCCAGGTTAAGCAGCCTGTAGATGTCCTCGGCAAAGGGATGTGTTTCGTCATGGAGCACCGATTCCACGGTACCCGATCCGATGAGTATGTCCAGGAAACTGAGCATGGGATAAGTTACGCGCTCATTGAGCAGATGCTCCTCGAAGATCTGGACAATCTCGGAACATAAACGCGGCACCATCGTCGGGTTGGAACGCAAAAATTGGAATAGCGCCGAAGAGGCATATTTGATCTGTGTAAACAGGAAAAAAAAAAACATTGAGATCCCCTGAACGGTGGGTGATAACCCTTAACTCACCAGAGATTCAGTCAGTTGTCCAATGCTAGCACTCAGGCCCAGCATCACCCGCTTGGAGTAATCGGGCAGGGCGAGCAGCTCGCAGAACAGGGGGAATGTGTGATCGGCAAACAGCCAGAGCACAGAGTTAGCCTCGGCGGGGAATACCTCCAGTAGCTTTGAGTGCTCTCGAATGTGCGGTATCCTGGGCTGATGGTTAATCAGTTGGCAACATAGGCGTCCGCCTAATCCTCGAGTGCGATCAATTTTCTCCACCGCCTGCTGCATGAAGCCAACCACAACCGCGTGGACTTGCTCTGGTGAGAGTAAATCCGGCGGGCACTGGGTTACGATCTCGTAGAGCGATGACATGGCCGCCTCCCTTACCCAAGCACCAATATCACCGCGATTGTCCAGGGTGTACTCGTCCAAAGCTTTCAGTAGGCAATTAAGGGCCTTGTTGAAGTTCTCACGATCTGAGAATGTGGCTTCTCCTTCCCCATAGCCCACGGTTTTCACCACCTTGGTCAGAGCCCTAACGCTTTCCATTCGCGCCTCGCTCCATCTGTAGGTCTGGATATTCTCGCGATCACCCATATCGCCGGCCAGAACCACCGCCTGCAGTGGTGTCAGCGAGTGCCTAACCAGACTATCCAAGACGGCAGGCAAATGCGGTTGGACCATGAAGGCGGGCAGCACTCCCAAGGCGGCTAGGTAACCCATACGTATGTGCTCTTCCAGGTCATTCTCGGCTCCCTTTAAATAGTCATTGATGATGGTCTCGTTCTCTTGACGTCTCGACTCTAGGCAGTAATATGTGCGGCAGAGTTCGCCAAAGGATTCCACAGCCGAGGCGCGAATGGTAGCTGATTTGGTCACCAGGCAGGAATCAATGACCTTCTGCCAGGAAGCTGGAGGAGATGAAAACATCAATGAATACTATTGCAAGGTAATAAATGAAAGGCTTACCCAAGCACTCGGTGGTCGCCTGCATCTTGGCCAGACTGCAGTTCTTTATAAAGTTGGTCGTGCAGGCCTTCATCAGTTCGCCGCTCATGCCACGATAGAAGTTCTTTTCTAGGAACGTCTTAACCAGCTCATTTAGTTCCACAATCCGCTGATTGGAGAGATACGCCACTGGGGGATCACTGCTCACCTCCAGCTGCCGCAATGCCAACGTAATTTCTCCCATGGCCAACACGCAGCCATGACGGCAATTGATGTCAATGGTATCGGTTTTGGCCAAAAGTTGCGGCAACACCACAGCCGCCATATATTCCGGCTCCCTCAGGGACAGCTTGTGCAGAGCCTTGGCCGTTAGCTCCCTTATGGCGGGATCCCAATGGTTGACTTTCCGCTGCACCAAATGATTAATCAAGGGCTCCCGGTACACCTCAAACTGAGCAATGTAGTCGCTGATGTTCAGGTAGGAGTTCAGACGAATGCCGACGGAATAAAAGTCCGTGGTGGTGGAGATCTCGATGCCGAAGGGAAAGTTACCGAGGCGACCAACGCTCTCCTGGAAAGCAGCAGACGCAGCGCGTCGGCAGTTCACCTCGCGATCAAAAACGGCCACGGTCAGCAGGCCGGAGGAGATCTTGTGCACAAAGGGTTTCACATCATCCGGATTATAGGCCCGGGCAAAGGCCCAGCACATGTAGCAGGCGGAATCACGGATGTGCTGGCCCACCGACATGTAGCCCTTCATTTCGTCGTAAAAGAGGGCCTGCATCAGGAGGGGAACCAGCTCCTCCAAGCGATGGGGCAGCAGCAGTCCCCTTTTGGCCAGTTCCGCCAAGGCCAGACAGCCACCGTGCCAGGCCTCGTGCGGCTCCAGCGGGTTGAGTATATCGATTACGGAACCAATGACCTGGTCGGCCAGGTCCTTGGGCAGACGATTGGTGACTCTCCCCAATCCCTTGGCCGCACTCCAGCGAATGTCGTTGCCACCGCTGCGCAGGCCTTGAAGTAACTCCTCGATCACCTCCTCGATGGCATCGGGCACTACGATTTCCTCGCCCTCTTCGGCAGATACCTCCATGGCGTCTGATTCCCCGCCGGCTCCTGTTGCCTGGTTAAGATTGGTGGCCAGCGATCGGGTGCCTAGAGATTAAATATTACTTCACAAGCTCTTTGCTTTGATTCCTCGCTCAAAACTCACCCCTTTTGTAGCGCCAGCTGGCAATGCGCGGCTTCAGATGCACCAGCCCGATCCTCTGGATTATTTTCACGTAGCTCTTGTACTTGAGGAAGTCGCTGCTGTTCTTGTACTGACAGGAGATGATCCACTGGAGGAGCTTGTCGGCATACGGCAGCAGGTCCTCCCGCTTGCCGTGCTTCAAAATGGCAGCTACAGCAGCCAGTTGACCGAACTTCACGTTAACCGTGTCCGCCTGGTGCTGCTCCATGATCCAGTCGAGGAATCTCTCCAGATATAGGTCCTTGATGTCACTGCGAATGAAATACTTGGCGGCCAGGTAGGCAGCCATGCTGCTGCAGGTGTCGTTGGTGGACACATAGAGCTGGATCAGCTCGTATATGCGTTCCATTTTGCTGGCCTTTGCCTCCTGGACATGATTGCTGAGACTGCAATTGGTTGTCGGACCAGAGGCCGTTTCGTAGGCATCCAATCTGGACATGTGAAAGGGATTAAGGACGAGAATGGACATCCAAAGGAGCAGTATGTATCGCGTCTCCCACTCGGCGAACTTGTGCGGATCCTGCTGGCCCAGCAGCTCTAAAACAAACTCCAGGTCGCTGAGTTCGTGCGGCATGAACTTCACCAGCACCTTGTAGGTGCGAACCTTGCTGATGATGTACAGATACTTGAAGGCGGCATGGCGTTCGCCAGATGGCAGGCTCTGCTGCCTAATCTTGCCCAGCAGTTTGCCCAACAGCTCCTCCAAATGCGGATCCAGTAGATGCGGCTGCTCCTGGTAGCGCGACAGAACCTGGGCGTATTGCTCAAACTCCCTTTCGAAGGAATCTGCCTCGATGGATTTAATGTTCTCGATCATCAGCAGCACCTGCTCCAGTTCCGTGAAGTGCTCCAGCGTATTTGCGGGCAAATCCTCGTCCTTGCACTCCTCTGCAGCGTTCGACATGACGGCCAAGTTATTAAATTGATTTCAAAAGCCACAGCCGGCAAGTGAAATAAACTTTTCGATTCTGATTCATTAGATGTGCCGCCAAGGCTGCCAGACTAACCGAAAAATTACAGTGGCCCTCTAGGTTTTAAAATTTCATTCGAAAATTGCATTAAAACTTTAACCTTGTATTTTTTTAATTAAAAGTGTACTACTTGTTATTGTAATTTATTAAAATAAATAAAAATTAAAATAAATAAAAACATTGAAATGTAATAAATTCCCTTGCCCACTGTGCATTGGTGTGACCGTGGCGTGCGTAGATCAAAATGTCGAAAGAGCGATAACAGCTGTTCGGCCAAAGTTGCCAACTGCATTGTGGCGAAGTGAAGCGGGCTGAGAACCAATATTTATCCCGAGTTTTTCCTTTTTTTTTTTGTTAAAAGTGGCCCCAACCAGGCAAAACATTTACAGTTTTCGCTTCGGAGTAACCTCCGGCAGCCAGTCTGCTTGCAGTACATCTTTGTTTTGCTGCCTGCGCGAAGATTCCGAGAAGAAAAGAAGCCTTTCCAAAAAGTGCATTTGTTTACACGCCACGATTTTCTTGAGTTGAGCCCCCCGCAACAGCCATAATGAGATCGGATAACTTTCGGTTGATTGCCGAGGTTGCCAAGCGGCGGCCGCTCTGGGACACCAACATGGCGATGGCCTGTCGCAAGGACGAGTTCCTAACGCAGTGGGCCGGTGTGGCGCACCATATGCAGTTGGACAGTGAGTGTGCTGGGCCGCCCAGGCTCCACCACACAGCTAGAGGCTATTAATAACTCCCGTATTCTTTCAGTCTTAACCTGCAAGAAGCGGTTTAAATGCCTGCGGGATAGTTACCGCGCAGAGGTGCGCAAGATCCAGCAGAAGCGCATCACCATGTCCCACTGGCCGTACTTCCGGGCTCTGGAGTTTCTGCGTCACATCTTCGATCCCCAGTGCCTGGTCCCATTTCCGCCGGAACCCTTTGACGGTGTAGCCGAGCTGGCGGAGAACTACGAGATCAGCGGGCTGGGAGACTTCTCAATCGATGTGGATGTGGATCTGGACAACGATGACTCTGTGGACTTTGAGATCATTGGAGATATTTTCAAGCGGGAATCCGCAGAGCGTCAGGATTCGGGCTCTGATCTAGGTTCGGCAACCCGGCAGCGAAAAGCAGACAGCTCGACGGCCACAAAATTGCCCAACTCGGACCCGGAGCTGTCGCCCAGACTGCTCTCGCCGCTAAATCTACCCCCCAATCACGCATTACTGCCAACCCCGCCACCGCCATCGAAGAGGTGCCGTCGCCGGAAGACCTCGTCCTCATGCGACGGGCCTACTTCGAGTGGCTACAGCAGCAGCCATCAGGATAAAGCCGCTGCAGTCGTGGATGCCGCCATGAAGAACGATTCAGACTACAGCTTTCTGGTCAGTCTCATGCCACACTTGAAGTCGCTGTCCACCATGAACAATCTCCGGTTCCGTGTGGAGGCGAACCGCCTGTTAATGGACCTCAACAGAGAGGAGCTACAGCGGCAGCCACAGGAGAGAGGACTAGGCGGACTGCCCAAGCTGACGCCTGCACCGGACTCCAGCTTTGCCACGGAGCAGGATCAACAGCATCTTTCCAATTCCAGCTACTACTATGAGCATGAGAAACATAATGGTGGCGCCGCATCCCCGTCGTCATCCGGCTACGTGGACATCTCAATGGTCGAGTGCGATGTTAAGATAGAGAACGAACCCCTGCTTTGATCTGAAGCACACCTCTTGTTCTGCTGCATCCAAATTTTAATTATAGAATATTACATTCTTATGAAATATGTTAAAAGTACCATTTACAACCACATTCTTCGATTTTGTAGCCTTAACCCAACCTCTATTTTGTCGAACATTTATGTTTAATTCGCATTATTCCCTGAAAAGTGAATGTTTTCAGATGATTTATGTGCCGCAACCAATTTTATATATATTATTTGGGTTCCATTATATGGGTAAAATAAAGAAAACAAACCAATGAGATGTCTTTTTTATGCCCGTGCAGGGTAATTTTAGTCAAGAAATATATATTTGTGTATGAACGAATATAAAATACATAAAAGTAGTTGTTATAGAAACGGTCAACAAAAGAAAAAATTTTTATTTCGCCGTTTTTAAAAATATTTGTATCTATATAACTTTTTTATTACAGAATTTCAGTTTTAAATAAAAAAAAACGAACTATCATATTATAGATATTTTTTTATGATTACAAATTTTATAAAATAATTTATTTTCATTTCCCGCGCTTTTTTTAAATGAGCATGAGGGGTTAAAATTTGTTCATGAAATGGTCACACTCAGCATTACTTTCCACACAAATCTAGTATTTTTTCCCAGCCACTTTCGCACTTCGGTTGGGTCAAGTGGACGGTCACACTGCTCGTACTGCTTGAAAAGCAGAAAGTGAAAAAAATATTCCCACAAGTTCAACAAATTGAGCGAGTTTTAAGCGGAAAACAGCTCCATTAAACCGAGCCCGTGTTTTCCATTTGATCGGCGCTCAATCACAGACCGTATGCGGCGCCTGAAGAAACTGAAGAGCGTGACGGGGACGCAGGATGGCGGCGATGCAGCGGAGAGCCGGACGACGGCAGCCGCATCCGCTGAAACGGATACCAACGGCGGCGGCGGCGCCATTAGCGGGTCCGGCGTGGCCGGTGGCCTGAACATGGATATATTTAAGCATTTTGACAAGGCCGGACGGAGCGAATTGTACGTGGTTACCACGGCTCAGACACCGATACAACTGCAGCTACTGATATACACACACGCACACACACTCGCGCATCACTCAGCACAGTGGCTGCCGTCAGTTAGTGTCCTGCGGAATATTCGCGCGCTCTTGTGTCGCCTGTTTGGGCTTCTGCTGCACACGGATAGCACTCAGCTAAACTAAACGTTTCCTTTTAGCCTGAAGTACCTCAAACAGCAGCTGCAGGATCAGACGGACGGAGTTGTCTACGATCGGAATGGTGTCTTCAAGCAGGGGGTGTCCAATGCCATCTACGAGCTGCTCTGGCATGCGCTGCGCTTTACCCACAAAAAGGATCTGGTGATCCACCTGCTTGGGGAAATAGTGGTGAGTACAAGGGCACTGGGTCTTCTCCAGGATGGGCTTAACTTAACTGGTTTTTCAGCCCCTCCACGAAGGTCTGCCTAGTCTCATAGTGGATGTGGTTAACATTCTGGATAGCGAAACGTCGCTTATGACTGAGGGATTGCATGAGGAGCGTCATGCCTTTGTGCAGCTGGTCAAGGACATGGACAAGGTGGTTCCCGAAAGTCTGTTGAAGGAGCGCTTGGAAATCGACACGCTGCAGGATGTGGGCATTGTGAAAAACAAGAGCTTCTACTCCAAGTTCATCAAGGTCAAAACCAAGCTATAGTATGTATATGAAAACATGTTTTCTGATGGCTTTTGCATTCCTTAAAATTGATATATTTCCCTTTAGCTATAAGCAGCGTCGCTTTAACCTGTTCCGGGAGGAGAGCGAGGGATTTGCCAAGCTAATCACTGAGTTAAATCAGGACTTTGAAGATAACACCACGCCAGAGAGCATTATGGACATAATCAAGTCTCTGATAGGTAAGGAAAATGATGCCTGAGTCTTACTGTGATTTCATTTGGGTTCCACTTTGTTCCCTAGGCTGCTTTAATCTGGATCCCAATCGCGTGCTGGACATCATTATCGAGTCCTTCGAAACTCGCCCTGATCGCTGGCAGCTGTTCATTCCCCTGCTGAGTAGCTATATGCCAACCGGTGCCATTATATGCGAAGTCCTTGGCTACAAGTTCTGCCACTTCAAGGACTCGCACACTCCCCGCAGCCTGTATCATGTCTGTGCCCTCTTGCTCAAGCACGGCGTCATCCAGCTGGACGATGTGTATGTCTGGCTGACTCCCAATGATGGGAGCATCAAGGCAGACTGGGAACAGGATATGGCGGATGCCAGGGAAATGGTGCGCAAGCTTAATCTTATATCCACCAACAAGAAGGACGAGGACAAGGACCCGCCACCGCCGCCCTCTGTGAAGAAATTCGACGAGGTAACTAAACAGTTCGCTTACAGCAAACAATCTTTTTATATTAATCACTTACTTGACAGGAAAAGTACAATGCAAATCAAAAGTTTGGCCTCTGCGAGGCCCTACTCAAAGTGGGAGACTGGGAAAATGCATACCGGATCATCCAGAAACTGCCAGAGCAATCTGTTGTCTACCAGGAGCCCATCGCCCGTGGCATTATCGATCTAATCCACTTCACCGTGGAACACGTGTACTACAAGATGTGCTTTAAGGCGCCCATGGGTCGAAAGCAGAGTCGCAGTCGCTTGTACGAGGATGTCAAGCTGGTGGCCAAGATGCAGGCCAAGGATTTTGGCGACTTGAGAAAGTACATCTGGCCGATGGCCAATGTCCTGGGACCGGGCATGCACCTGGACACTGTGCTAATGTACAAGCTGATCCGCATCATGAACAAACTGGTGGTGGACATGGGCGTGGATAGCATGAATGGACCGCCGCCGAACTCTGAGGCAGAGCAGCACTACTATGACATCATCAGCTGCCTGGATGCCTGCATTCTGCCATCCCTGCTCTACCTGGACAACAACTGTTCCATGTCCGAGCTGATCTGGAGTGTGCTCAAGTATTTCCCCTACCATTATCGGTACAGCTTGTATGCGCGCTGGAAGAACGACAGCTACCAGCTGCATCCCAATCTGATCCGGCGCTGTGGCCTGGCCCAGCGCGATGTCAAGGCGCTTATGAAACGAGTGAGCAAGGAAAATGTCAAGCAGCTGGGTCGTTTAGTCGGCAAGTACAGCCACTGTGCTCCCGGCCTTCTCTTTGACTATGTGAGTTTTCTCTTTCTTTTTTTCATGAATTTCTTCCTTAACTTCCTTAATTTCATCTTCAAGATCCTCCTCCAAATCCAAATCTATGACAATCTCATTGGGCCCGTCTGCGACATGCTCAAGTATCTGACTGCCTTGTCCTTTGATTGTTTGGGTTACTGCATCATCGAGTCGTTGACGTTGACTGGTCGCCTCAGGTTCAAGGACGACGGCACCTCGTTGTCCTTGTGGCTGCAGAGCCTCGCCTCTTTTTGCGGCACCATCTTCAAGAAGTACAGCATCGAGCTGAGCGGTCTTTTGCAGTACGTGGCCAATCAGCTTAAGTCCCAGAAGAGCCTGGACCTGCTGATTCTGCGCGAGATTGTCCACAAAATGGCGGGTGTGGAGTCCTGCGAAGAGATGACCAATGATCAGTTGCAGGCCATGTGTGGCGGAGAACAGCTCAGGGGAGAGGTAAGTATCTGTAATGGTTCTGTTTCTGCTTAAGATCTTAATTTTCTTCCATCTTTAGGCTGGCTACTTCAGTCAAGTGAGGAATACGAAAAAGTCGTCGAATCGTCTGAAAGAGGCCTTGGCCAACAACGATCTTGCCGTGGCCCTTTGTCTGTTGATGGCCCAGCAAAAGCACTGTGTGATCTATCGGGAAACGGCGGCGCACAGTCACTTGAAGCTAGTAGGAAATCTGTACGATCAGTGCCAGGACACGCTCGTTCAGTTTGGCACCTTTCTGGGGTCCACCTATTCGGTGGACGAGTATGTGGAGCGTCTACCCTCGATCATAACCATGCTGCGGGAATATCACATCAACACGGACGTGGCGTTCTTTTTGGCCAGACCTATGTTTACCCACCAGATAAATGTAAGTTTCCTTTTCCACGGGTATTCTGTTTCTTAATGTCTGAAAATAAGTTGATCTGCTTAAGATATGTTAATGTGGTAATATGTTTTCAACGAGTCTTTCACTTGTCTGTTTATTATCACACAGCAAAAGTACGATCAATTGCGCCGGGCGGATCCCAATGCCAAGAAGCTGAATCCCACGCAGAAGCTGCAAAAGTATCTGGAGGCCACGCAGCTGATTATGAACCCGATCGTGGAATCCGTGCGTCCGCTGCACAGCCTTAAGGTCTGGGAGGACATCAGTCCGCAGTTTCTGGTCACCTTCTGGAGCCTAAGCATGTACGATCTGCATGTGCCGAACGATAGCTATCAGCGTGAGATTGGCAAGCTCAAGCAGCTGGCTCAGCAGGCGGCAGAGGGCAAGGACTCTAATCAGTCAAAGAACAAGAAGGAGCAGGAGCGATATATTGCGCTGATGGAAAAGCTGAACGACGAGCGCAAGAAGCAGCACGAGCATGTGGATAAGATTTTGCAGCGGTTGCAGGAGCAGAAGGATGGCTGGTTCCTGCTGCGATCGGCCAAGTCGGCCAAGAATGATACCATAACGCAGTTCCTGCAGCTTTGCCTCTTTCCGCGCTGCACCTTCACGGCTTTGGATGCACTATATTGCGCCAAGTTTGTACACACCATACACAACCTCAAGACATCGAACTTTGCCACGCTGCTGTGCTACGATAGGGTGAGTTTTTCTTTGGGATAATGCCAAGTATTTGTTACAATATGTCCCTCTGCTCATCCTTTAAAGATCTTCTGTGACATTACCTACTCGGTGACGTCGTGCACGGAGGGCGAGGCTACGCGCTACGGTCGCTTCCTGTGCGCCATGCTGGAGACCGTGATGCGTTGGCATGCCGACCAGGCGGTCTTCAACAAGGAGTGCGCCAATTATCCCGGCTTTGTCACCAAGTTCCGGGTGAGCAATCAGTTCTCGGAGGCCAACGACCATGTGGGCTATGAGAACTACCGCCATGTGTGCCACAAGTGGCACTACAAGATCACCAAGGCCATTGTGTTCTGCCTGGACTCGAAGGACTTTATGCAGATTCGCAACGCTCTCATCATTTTGATGCGCATCCTGCCCCACTATCCGGTCCTGGCCAAGTTGGCCCAGATCATAGAGCGCAAGGTGGACAAGGTGCGCGAGGAGGAGAAGACGAAGCGTCCGGATCTGTATGTCATTGCCTCCAGCTACATTGGTCAGCTGAAGCTGAAGACGCC